CCTGTTTTCTTCAGAAATCTGAGCAATGTCCCCAAATATTTGCTGTAGACGACATGTCTGTCACTTAATAGGTATTGCTTCCGAATATAAGAACTTTGTTTGCTAATCGTAAACTGGTGTTCTATTAAAGGAATTAAAGTAATACATGTCTTCGTTATCCAGATAATTTTTTCTGTAGAGACGGTTTTGTGCTTGATAATTATGAATGTTTTTGAACGGGATTATCTAACCACGTCTAATTCATATATCATAATTATCGAAAACTATTCTGATGTAATCAATAGTTCGGTAAATAATTTTCATAGTTTAGGTTAGAAAGTGAGACCTGACTAGTTACGTCCCTTAGAAGAATGATGTCTCTTTTCAGTGTAATTAGCATATACATATAAGATGAGTTTGATAATTTATTAGGCCATTTCTTCGGACTACACTGCTTTCTAAAGGGACTCAAATGATCTGTAGTATAGTTGTTTGATATAGTTAGTCTGTTATCAAGATTAATGTTATAATGTGAACAGCTGTTGACTATTTTTCTACACCGAGTTTTGTAACCAAATGTCAGTGTCATGTTCTACTGCTATATCTATGTTCTCAATGTATAACCCTATCCTTAATTGCACAAAGAAAAGTGAAATTATTGATGTTTTATTTAATTTATAGAGGTAGCGGTAATGAAATATACACACTGAAATACATTTAGCAGGATTAAACGTGAATGATATAATTTAATAGTATATTACACAAAATATGTCGAGCAATTAATATTCCCAAAGTCAATACAATGCAGCCGGATAATACAAACATTAAGGGAAACACATGAAGTCAATATTTAATACGCATCAGCTATGATTTAAACCATTTGTTTTATTCTGCACAACTAAAATATAGGGGTGTTATTCAAAATATAATTGCCTTCACTGGAACTAATTGTATTTTGTTAAGGTGTTAGTATTCTCTTACCAATACCCATGAAAATGTGACCATAAACTTGATTATATAGGAGTAAAATATATATTGAGTTAAACTGTAAATATTCTTCCGCACTGACCATAATATTAGTATCAGATTGATAGCAAGGTAATAAACAAATAGCATGTGTCATGCCACATTACCTGCTTGAAACTCAAGATTAAGAAACAAATTGAAATATATTTTCACTCCATGCTTTCCTTTTCATAGTTTTCAAGATGGATGTATATTATATGATAATGAATACACAACAAATAGTTTGAAGATATCGATATATATACATTCAAGTTAAATTGTCTTCCCTTAACGAAGATGAATATAATTTGAATTCAGACTTCAAATATTATGTGTGCCAAAGCACCCGATAGATTTGTTGGCCGCATTAGTGTAACAACATATTCATGGAATATCGAAGCAATTCTTTTCAAACAATTTTAACACATTGCAAACGGTTGACGTTGGACCATGTCAAAGGTAAATTAAGTTTTTCGCCTAGTTTCTAATATTTAGTTTTAGATAAACAATAATTTCCTTTTCTAGAGCACGTTTATCTTTATATGCTATTCACAAAACTCTATACGCAAGGAAATAATATATTTTAGGTGCCCAATCATGTTTGAAATCGATGCCATGAACAGTAACAAACACAACATATCTCTGTATAAACACTAGTTGTGGTAGTCATGACTGCAGTGGAAACATTAGCAGTAGTTGTTGTACTAGTTATGATAGTGATTGTAGTAGATGTGTTTGCAAAAATATGGAAGAGTAGTAAATGTTTGAACTCAAAAATCTATGATTACTCATGTAAAATGTTCTCCACAGAGACAGATCATATGCTTATCGCGCTTTATTCATTTCTTATGCTCTACATATATGACGAACAGTCGAAAAGATGAATACGGAAAACAATAAACTTCCTAACTATGGATTGTATTTGCTACCAATATGAATTGTTATAAATAGTGATCTTGTTAAACTTTTATTTTGCTTAAAACATTTCTTGATATTTTGAGGGAAGAAAAACCACCGTTTAAAGGGAAACTTGTCACAGATTTCTATGTACACATCAATGCTTTCTCAGGCTCAATAGTTTGTCAGTAAATGTTGTGTCTTGATATTGTTGTGTACAGAAGATATCAGTTTGTCAACGCACTACATTACAAACCCTTAAAATATCAAACGGCTATATATCCAGTGCCGGACACGGCGCTTGTTAACACTATCATACAGTAGCCAGAATTTAGTGGTTGTTCGTGAACTAAAATTCGAAGAGATAATTTAATAAGTAAACACAATGTAGGATGATATGAACTTTATTCGATCCAATCTATAGTTTCGCTTTTGCTACTAAAACGATATTTTTAATAGGTTACACTTGTATGATATACATGAATGTAAGACGAATAAGACATTTGCTAAGAAATTAAAAGTAGGAACATAAATGCAGTTACAGTTGTTTCAAAAACGAAATTATGTTCTCTAGCATAAAAATGTTAGTACGGTCGTTAGTGTTAATGTCAACTTTCCTAATGCTTTTGCAGTCGGAAGAAATGATTTTACCTCTTAAATGATGCAATATATATCTTAATTCGATTATAGGTGACGAAAACAATTTAATCTAAGTAACAAAAAAGTTATTCGCAAATTTGACAATGAAAAAAATTCTCTCCGATTGTATTCATTAATCAAGTGGAAAGCATAACATGTAACACATTTTAAAACACCATTTAAAGAATATATTAGATCTCGCTTGTATTGTAATTAAAATATCTAAATATAATCTGCATGACATCACAGACACAATAAATTTATGAAAACAAAAATGATATGATTTGGGCTTAAAATAGTCCTGTGTTCTGACTGACTTGAGGTCTATGGTTTACTAATTCTCCTTCATTCAGCATAATTGTAGCAAAATAATTATATATTGTATCTACATAGATTAAACACGAATGATGTGCAGACAATTATTGATTGTAAGCTTTGAATCATTCCTAATTGGAATGATCTCCTACGCTAATATAAGACTGACTAAACTCTTCAATATAATCGCAGAAAATGTTATTCTCATTTCACTAAGGTCATGGCAAGAAAATAATAATTTGCACATAATTAAACATTGAGATTCCGCCACTTGACAGATATCATTGTCTATGAAGTTTTCTTACTGACGTAATTGAAGAACTCCACACACATTTTGAGAATAAGAGAGCGGAACGAGTAAAGCTTTTTAAACTGTATGCCTACTGGATAGGTTACTGGTAACATATTTCTAATGCATCTACAGTTCTCTTAGTTTTTAATTACGTTATGCATAATGTGTCTACTATATAGTATAACGACCTCGATTTCTAATGTACTTGACATTTATTAAATTCGCTATTACTAGATTCTGCTCCTACTATCTTTTTATAGCAATGTACGATTTTATGATTGGCCTTTACTTGATTTATGTAATATCTGATTCTTTAATGTCGCATTTTGAATTAATTGGTCATTAATTTTTGTAATGTCTGACCCTGAAATATATATTGCTTTGATATAAAAAAGTTTCATTCTGTAATTGGCCTTTCAGTGATTTGTGTTTACTATCATTTTCTGCCTAATACCATTAATTCCCATACTGCCTTATCATGTGCAAAATCTGTATGAGTTTTGCAATGTTTAATCCTGATTAGATGTCGTTGGTTTATATAATGTCTAATCCTGCGCTTCAAGTTGCATTGATATATAGGTTTTATTTGTGATTGGCCTATCCTTAGATTATCCAACGACTTATTCTACGATTAATTTGTCCTTGATCTCTGTAATGTATGATGAAGCCTTTAATTTCGCATTTATTTCTGTCATATTTGATCCTGCCATTAATTTCTTTGATTTCTGTGCCAAAACTTTCCTTGAGTTCCATAATATGATGCCATTGAATTATGTAATATCCGACTTTTCTTTGATTTCTATAATGTCTGTACCTGTGTTTAATCTGTTTTTTTTCTGTAATGTCTGATTCTCTGTTTGATGTTACTTTAATTTCTTTATTCTATTATCATGTGCATGACCTTTTATTTCATTTCTCTAGTGTAGGATCCAGAGTGTTAAAGATATTTAAATTAGCATCTGTTTAAAATGCTTATAATCAGTTATAAAAAAATGTGAAAAGATGTACTCATTTCCTTGATACGACTGTAGGTAAACCAAAGCGATTGAATACTCGTTGATATTGTGGCACATGTTAAGAATAATCATTAATGCAATTACTCTCTATTAGACATTTTGCATAATTTATAATTTTAAAGCAAAGACTTACAATGATTAATGAAATAGTCATATTGTTTCAGATGCCATTTTGACAGTCTGATCTGCATGACATGCAGTATGTTGCTTTGCTAAACATAATGTACATACATGTGTCAGTTGTATAATTTTTACTACTGATTAATAAGCGACGACGAATATCTTTACCTCCTTTAGTGACGTATGGAATTACTCAGAAAGATTACAAAGCATAATTTCATGCAAAAGTATATAAAGGACACATTTTACCCTCATCCAAACATAACTATTGCGAGGAAATACATTAATAACATTGCGAAAACATATTAGATATGCAATGCTACACAAATTGCACATTTACACCCATTTATCATCTTCAGAAACGTGTACGATTTTGTAGTTTAAATGCAGTACATGCCAATATATATATATATATATATATATATATGATTTTGAAACTTACATAGAAGACGAAGAATCGGAATCAAAGAGAAGGAAAGCAAACTAAATGTCTTGGAATAAAGAGACGAAAAGAAATGTGATGTGATGTGATTTTTTTACCAAGGTTTAACGATTTTTCAATCATATCGCTACGATGTCTGCAGTCTGGCAGTTTATAGTGATGTCTAGCACTGGGGCATCAAGTCGCAGCCATGAAGCATGATGTCCCACCCTGTCACATTAGCCTAACACAAGGCCGACCAGGCTTAACACTAACATTTCAATTCTGAGCGCCAAGCGAGGAAGCGTCTTTGGTATGACTCGACTGGAAATCGAACCCACGACCTCCGGCATCTGACGCGGACGCTCTAACCACTAAGCCACCTGAGGTGTGTGACAAAAGAAATAAAAGAAACGAATAGAAAAACAGTTTGCATCGTATACGTATCAACTATAATAAATCTGATTCAATTATTATTAAAGAGAGGCAATGGTAAACAATTCCTCTAGATTTTGTAATTTTCTAAACATTTTCATCTATACAACATTCAGCTGTAATAAACATATTGTAAGAAATATAATATGACATTGTTTTGAGACAAAAAATATGAATTAATAACAAAAAAATGCAGTGAATCTACGTTTTGTTACATATAGATGACTACATTTTAAAGCATTAAAACGATTGTCTATATTCATAGGTTAAATATCGTTTGTTGATGTAAATTGCGTTTTAAAGCGATTATCACGCACCGTTTACATGCATATGATGGTTTCTCTATGGCAACCAATGACCTGATTCAACTTAACTAAAGAAGTGCTATGCTAATCTTGATAATCTGTAGCTGCTCCTATAATTCAAACCTGTCCATACTAAAGTAATAACACGCATCTACCTTTGTTTTAAATCGGGTAAAGTCAAGTTTGAATAGAAAAATAATATCCGTATTTCAAGATCGTTAATGAAGTAGTAAAATCAAAGAAAGAAATTAAAAATTGTGATTCATAAGTGCGCGTGAAATATCGTTATCTGACCACCAGTTAGCAAATGTAGAAGTAAATGCAAAATCCTACATTTATTATTTTAATGAAATATTTATCAATCGTTGTGAATATGAATAATTTTGACACTCACAACAGCAAAGAATATTAAATATCAGCATAGCAGTATGATTTGTTATTCCAAATACTCTTGTAAAAAAATATTGTTGCATTCATTTCATCTCAAAAAATTTTAGAAATTGTATCTCTTTGGTAAGAATAAAGATGGCGCTATACAATTTCGTATTTAGCATAGGGTTAGAATTTTAAAGAAAAATAGGTACCCCGGGTTTGCTCAATAGTTTTACTGGCTATTTAAAATATGCTTTGGATATCTTAGGTATTGTTCAAGTAACCTTTAACTCCCTTTATTTTGATGTATGATTGATGGGTGTAATATGGGTTAGAGAGTATACAGCTTGGCTTTACTCCAGATATGCACCTTTTAAAAAAGAGCTAGCTCTACTTGCTCATTTTCCCTTCCCGAAATTTAGAAGTAAATGGTATAAAATAGAGCCGATAATTTTTCTTTATATTTTATGTATTTTGTAATTCATTCATTGCACTTTTAGAAGCTGGTATTGTCTAGTTTGGCAAAAAATAATTTTCCATATTTTAATAGCTGCCACGAATAGTGTACTTTACACAAATTCAGGATGATTTCCGGAGCACAAGGGAGCAGTCATTTTAGTTGGTAGTATCCTAAGATCATTTAAAATTACCAAAAGTACAATATCCAAAGAAAGTTTAGCCACATTATATGAAAGTAATATATAGGTATGCCAACATTCTCTCCACTATGCATGTTTAAAATGCAAACAACTTCATCTTACATATATCCCTCTATCAAAAGTACATAATAACTGGTGAGCGCCATCATAAATAGCATATAGCTATTATTACTGTATGGTTTAATTTTGATTGTATGGCTGAAACATTTAAATCGTAAGCATCAAAACAGTTCTTTGTAATAATTGTCCTGAATTTCCTCCCTCGGAACAGCATTTATTAGAGTCAGATTCTCAAACAGGTACAACCCCCCCTCTTTATTATAAAAAGTGAACCATTTTAAAAATGCGCATTGCATTTTGTCAACATATCAACCAGTGTTATGCTGATAGACAGGAACATTAAACTAGCCATATTTATTCCTGAGATGTCAACATTAAATTTTACAGTTAGAAAAGGAATATAGCATCTGAGGTTTATAAATGTCAAAGGTTAAAGAGTGAAATATTAACTAATTCTTTAATATGGAAGAAGACTAATTTACATTTTTATCATTTATTTTTTAATTTCATTGCAAATAAATGAAAAGGATCATTTTCACTATGTATTTCGTTTACTTAATGCAACTGTTTTCAATATAAGTTGACTGCATTCCTATATTCTAAGACTTCTAATTTCCCCTTAATGAAGGCCACAACCCACCCAACCATGCCTCATGACAAATTATGTATGCAAGAGCGAAATTAGGCATAATTAGCTTATTTTCATGAATATAAAATCAATGTTAATGTACCATTTTACTCAGAACATCGTACATAATAATAAAAAATAAGAAAAATAATTGCATAAATGTTTATCTTTTTTTTAAGGTGCCGCTCTAGAGTTTCGTATTTAGCATAGGGTTAGAATTTTAAAGAAAAAGAGTTTCCCGGGTTTGCTCACTAGTTATACTGGGAATGTAAAATATACTTTGTACATCTTAGGTATTGTTCAAAGAACCTTTTATTCCATTTATTTTGATGTATGATTGATGGGTGTAATATGGGTTAGAGTGCATACAGCTTGGCCTTACACCAGATGTGCACCTTTCAAAAAAAACATAGCTCTACTTGTTCCTTTTCACTTCTAGGAAACTTAAGAGGTAAATTGTAAAGAATGGAGCCGATAACTCTTTTTTTACATTTTATGTATTTGGTAATTCATTCATTACACTTTTAGTAGCTGGTATTGTCTAGTTTGGCAAAATTCAGTTTCCATATTTTAATAGCTGCCAAGAATAGTGTACTTTAGACAAATTCAGGATGATTTTCGGAGCACAAGGGAGCAGTAATTTTAGTTGGCAGTGTCCTAAGATCATTTGTAATTTCCAAAAGTACAATATCCAAAGAAATATTAGCCGCATTACATGAATGTAATATATAGTTATACTAACATTCTCACCACTATGCATGTTTAAAATGCAACCAACTTCACCTTACGTACATCACTCGATCAAAGGTACGTAATAACTGTTGAGCGCCACCAAAGCTGTCACCAGTGTCGTTGAGGCGAACCCGAACCGGCATAGCTGGAAGAACGTCAGTAATAATCTAAAGGACCGGTCAATTTTTGTGAAATTTGAAAGACATTGCCAGAGTTCAATCTTATGGCATAGGCGTTGTCAACTCTGTCGATGTCAACACATGAAGGATCCTTTAGCCTCTCTGGTATAATATTGAAAAAACATGATCCATTCATTCCGAAGAATGGACAGAGTTGTCATTATACACGGATAAATCAAAAGATTTGAAAACATAAAACTTGTTTATAGAGGTAATTCGCTTTTCCCATTAAAACCATCAAAATCTTGGTAATATTTATTCCTCTCCAATAAAGTTCTATATCTCCAATAGTATTTGCCTACATCACGCGACCTTGGCACTTCTAACTTCTCCTGGATAACTCAAGAAACACCTAACAAAACAAGTTTGAATGCTATTATCATGCCTGCTCTGATCAATCCATCCACTACAGAGAATAATTGTACGACACATTTTTTATTTTTTCCAGAAATAAAACCTTTTATTACGGTTAGATGAATAAGCTTTTGGCAATCATCAGGAATCGATTTAGCATCACGGTTAGTCTTAAAAAGTGATGTTTTTGATAGTGATTTGTTACTTGGTTTGCAAACAATTGACACTTTATGCTGTTATTATATTTGGTTCAGTTTGTTTTGAAGTTTTGTTTTTCAAATGATTTAATTAAAAAGCAACTCTTTTTCATGTAAATAAATAAGAGCGCTGATAAAAGTCTCTTGTTCTTGGAAGTTATACTGAATTCAAACTTGTAATCATATTTTCTGTAACACAGAAACTCTTCGAGACCACCACATCGCCTTCCATATTGGATTTCACCGGAATTCAAACACAGTATTAGGCAGGAATTTTTATTTGCTAGGACTTTTATATTTAATTCTTGGTGTAATTTTGTATTAAATTGGTAAAGCACTAAGCATGTTTAGATAATATACTATGCATACTTGAGAAATAATGTGTTTGTTAAATTTTAAAAGGTTGTTGGCTACGCTTATTTCTGTTATTTATTTGAAGAGAATAGATTTGTAACAACATAACAATGCATTTCATCCCTTCGTGTGATATGTTTTAAATATTAAATTATAATTTATATTAAGGCATTAGATATTAACGATGTTTTTACATACTAATATCCATCACTTTCATGTAAGCACAAATTTATATGTATTTTACATAGAAAAACTACATTCGTTTTTTTGGAAGCATTGTAGATACCATATTGGTATCGTCAGAGCAATAATATACATCGAATCTTTCACCTTCAGCCACACGTCTTTAGTGGCAGTAAGGTTTGCAATGAGTCTCAAGAAAGATCATAATATTGGATTCTGATAGATATATCATTGTCAGGCTAACCTGGCTGGAATAATATTAGTAAGCAATATATTCTTGAGTTTATGTATTGCAATGAACTCATGTTCTTAGGATAGGTCTTTGTCCATATATATTGATTATATGTTTGAGTCTATTCTATTAGGTGTACTTACATATTAATGCCAAAATATTTAAATATTATGGATCATTTTATTCTTACTAAGGTCAATGTCAGAGGCACAGCATTGGAACCTGTACTCAGATGTTTGTTTTCCATGAGACACCAAGAAAAAATTTAAAATGATGCTATGAAACAAATCAGACGAAGAAGACAAAATGACTAAGATGATTAAGATTCAATTCCGATGTGCGATATACATATTGTTCATGTCGTTATTATTAAAAGAAGTCAATGTTGATGGAAGTGTATTCAAAGGTAAAAGTCACCTGAAGTATTTTTTGGGGATTGGAGTGACACATTAATGGTCCTGGAATTCGATCTATGAGATCTTCAAAATAAAGGTAATATCTTTGTCCAAATATTATAGTTAACTGAGGTAAGCAGATTATGTTGCATTCAGTTAGCTGTAATTTATTTTCAACTGAATGTTGAAGTGCTTTTATATTTATTAGAATAGTGTAAGGAAAGATATTGTTACAAGTACCTAAACTGTATGCTATGCATTAATTAATATGACGAGGCAGTATCAGTAATTACTTTGCTCATTGT